TAAAGTCACCCAACTGGCTTTCCTGCCTAAGGCAGGACTAGAACTCAGCGTCTCCCACTTTCTAACCTGCCACCTTGACCCTTAGACCAAATTAATCAAGGAACTCCCAAAGACAAAAGCCACACCTCCACCAACACTGGCTGGACAAACAACTTATACAAATGGGAAGGAAACCCCACCCTCGCTAGCCCTGATGGTGTTACTTAGTTGGGTGAGGAAATGTCTGCGGGAGAAGTTCCAAGCTCAGAGAGACTCCAACCCTGAGCTACAGAAAATCTCTTCTAGGGGAAAATAGAAGAGAGATCCATCCTGGTTTCGGTCCATTTTGGGCATCCCAACTTGGTTCCAACGTCAATCTCTCACATCTCACCTTCCTCTCCTCCTCCTGCCGCAGCCGTTCTTCTTCCAAACGCCGTTCTTCGTCCCGTTTTTGTTCCACTTTCTTTCTTTCTTCCCGTTCAGCCTCTTCAGCCTTTGGACACGGAGAAGGGGCAGAAAATTAAGAGTGTGTTTGTTTGTGTGGGTGAGGCACTAATACCGCTCTGTAAACCCTTAGTAAGGCCACACCTAGAGTACTGCATCCAGTTTTGGTCACCACATTATAAAAAAGATGTTGAGACTCTAGAAAAAGGGCAGAGAAGAGCAACCAGTATGATGAGGGAACTGGAGACTAAAACATACGATGAACGGTTGCAGGAACTGGGCCTGGCTACTCTAGTGAAGAGAAGGACCAGGGGAGACAGGAGAACATCTTCCAATATTTGAGGGGCTTCCCCAGAGAGGAGGAAGGGGGTCAAGCTATTTTCTAAAGCCCCCAAAGGCCAGACAAGGAAGAATGGATGGAAACTGAACAAGGAGAGATTTAATCTGGAAATAAGGAGAAACTTTCTGACAGGGAGAACAATCAACCCATGGAACAGAAGTTGCCCTCGGAAGTTGTGGGAGCTTCATCACTGCAGGCTTTGAAGAAAAAACTGGACTCCCATCTGTCAGAAATGGTGTAGGGTCCCCCACTTGGGCGGGAGGTTGGACTAGATGACCTACAAGGTCCCTTCCAACTCTGATTATCTGTTATCTGTTGTGGAAAACTCCCTCCTTCCTGAAGCACGTCCCTCAGACGATTTTAAAAATGTTCCCCCCCCCCATCTTGACACAGAAGCAAATATACATACATACATATTACAACAAGGAAACGCCACTGCGCCTGAGATCTGTATGGATAGTCCTCACTTTACGACTACAATTACGCCCAATGTTTCAGCTGCTGAGCAAGACAGTTAAGTCAGTTTTGCGCCATTTTATGGTATTTTTGCCACTGTTGTTAAGAGAAACACTGTACTGGTCCTACAACACTTTGTTTAGTGACAATTCAAAGTTACTGAACTTTGAGGCGCTAAGAAAGAAAAAGGGGGGGACTTCCACGCAGGGAGGAACGGAGAAGGGAGAAACGTGGCTTATGGGAGAGGAAAAGGCCCTGATTCCCTTCATTATCTGCAGCTGGGAGAACAGGATATAAGTGGGGCGTTTGCACACAGCTCCTTGCTGGAAGCAAAGTGTGCCTTATCTTGGTCCAGGCTTATCTGGGTTTTGGCGTCCTCCCAACTGCGGTTGCTGCGTTATCTTGTGGAAGTCTGCAATTTATCATCCTGGCTTGCCGTGTTAATGAATTCAGTGTGGTTTGTGTTGGTTTTTTTTAAATTTCTAATTATTTTTACTTTGGGTTCGGACTGCGTTTCTTTCCTTCGTAGACTGTTTTTGGAAGAGCTTGATCTCCAGCTGAGGATAACTGGACATTGGGGGCCAAGTTGGAGGCATTAAAGGGAATTTATTCTATTTCTGTGACTTGGTTATTTTTGGGTCACGCCCCAGGTCACCACAGTGACTTAAAACAAAAATACAAATAAGGGTTCCGTATCCCTACGCCTGGGAATTGTGTTCCCTTCTCTTTACGCCATGATGCGTTCTCTTAACTCGGTCCCTTCTGAGTTTACTACGACTACAACGCCCGGGATCCCTAGGGGAACGATCCAATCAAAGAATGCTGATTTATAAAACGCAGGGGGGAGACTCACCTCTCTCTGAGCTTTCCTTGCCTGCTTCTCCTCTAACTTCCGCTGTTTCTTTGCTCCAATCTTTCCGGAAACTTGGAATTCAGCTGGTTCGGCTCCATTGTCTTCTTCTAGTTTAACAATGGTTTTTGAAGGAGGAAAAAAGAAAATGGAGAAGGATCATCAAAGTGCTAGAAAGGAGAGACGTGTGTGTGGAAGGATGGAGGAGGAGGAGGAGGAGGAGGAGGAGGAGGAGGACAGAGGGGTCCTTGGTGCTCTCTGAGGTTGGTTGTTTCCTTATGGATGTTTCATGACCCAACTAGGTAACATCATCAGGGCTAGAAGAAAGTGGGGTTTATAGAGAGGAGGAGGAGGAGGAGGAGGAGGAGGAGGAGGAGGAGGACGACGACGACGACTACAGTGGAGTCCTTGGAGCTCCATGACCCAACTAGGTAACATCATCAGGGCTAGAAGAATGGGGTTTATAGAGAGGAGGAGGAGGAGGAGGAGGAGGAGGAGGAGGAGGAGGAGGAGGAGGAGGAAGAGAACAGAGGGGTCCTTGGTGCTCTCTGAGGTTGGTTGTTTCCTGGCAGACGTCTCATGACACAACTAGGTAACATCATCAGGGCTAGAAGGGAGTGGGGTTTGCTTTCTGGCTAACCCTTTATGTGTTGGTGGAATGTTCCCCAGAAACCACCAGAAACGGCCCCCATCAACAGTGCCAGGGCAAGCCATAAGTATGTAAACAGAGAACAATCCCCCTTCCTCCCTTTTAACGCTGAAGATGTGTTGCCTGGTTCGGCTCACGAAATGTCTGCTTAGAGCAGCGGTCCCCAACCAGTGGTCCACAGAGAAAATTTTGGTGGTCTGCAAAGAAATGTCCCCCCACCCACCACCAAAAGAATTAATCCAGGCTGCACGGGAACACAAGGCTGCGTCACTCACCCCACACACCTGGCCTGGCCACCGGGCTGCTTCTTTCCGCTTCTTTCTTCTTCTGCTTTTGGCTGCACACAAGGAAAGCAGCCGAAGTCTCTCTTTCTCTCCCCCAAACTCCGCCAGAAATGAGTCTTTGGGACCCTGCAAGGCCTCCTGCTCCAAGAGGCTGAGCTGGCAAAGACTCATTTCTGGCGGAGTTTGGGGGAGAGAAAGAAAGACTTTTGCGGCTTCTGCTGCTTTCCTTGCATGAAGCCAAAAGTCTCTCCCTTTCTCTCTCTCTCTCTCTCTCTCTCTCTCTCTCTCTCTCTCTCTCTCTCTCTCTCTCTCTCCCTGAGAACGGAGCTGGAGACGGTCTCCTGCGATCCCAAATAAAGAACGATCGATCGGTAGGAAAACAGGGTGGGGGATTTTCCAGCAGACTTTTTGGGGGATTTTCCCAGGGTCTCTGGTCCGTGGGATTTAAAATGATGAGTTTGGGGGTCCATGAGGTCCAAAAGACTGGGGACTCCTGTGCTTAGAAAGCAACCCAGTTCTGGGAACACCAAACCTGTTTGCACCAGCTCATAACCAAGCTTTTTTTTTTTTTTTTTTTAAATCCCTTTATTTACTGGAGCGTTTAACGTCTCTGGATCAGAAACAAAAACACCCCCAATTGCCTGAGTACCCAAATGCTGCGAAGCAGAAAGGTACTGGAGTATCAAAGGGAGTGGTTCCATTCCTTGAGCATTAAAGATGCTCCCAAATCGGATCAAAAAATAAAACGCACTGTCAACTTGGATGGGCACCTAACGCGAAAGGAGTGATATATTGCCACCTCAGATAATAACACTGGCCGACTGATTTGGGTCTCTTAACTTGAGTAGCCCTGGATCCTTTAGCCATCTTTTCCTTTTTTCCCCCTGAGCTGAAAGATGCCGCCCGCAGCCTTTGAGAAAACTTCAAGGGAGATGGGTACATTTGACGGAAACGTGAAGCCAAAGGCTGCCCTGAAAAACATCAAAATCCCCCTTTCCTCCTCCTCCTCCTCCTCCTCCTTCTTCTTCTTCTGATTTTATTCTTTTTTTCCCACCCTCCGAAACGCAAATTTTTGCACTTCAAAGACATCCACCTGGGTTGAAAAGTTCAGGCTTCTCAACCGAGAGCCGCACAAAAGCCGCTGCTGTCAATTCCGCCGTGGGCCATCTTGGGAGAGCAGAAACGGGACGGGATGCCGGGCTCCGTCAAAGTGGGGAGGGGAGGGGAGGGGAAAGGGGGAGAACGCGCAAGTATGGAGACCGGCCTACAAATGGGGAGTTGCTGCTGCCTGCCCACCCCGGGAGGCGTGTGTGTGTGTGTGTGTGTGTGTGTGTGTGTAAAAGCTAGGGAGGATTTTCGTGCTGATAACATTTCCCCAATAAGAAAATGGATGCAGTTGGCGAAAGTCGGGTTTATCTAGGAGCGGAAGGAGGAGATGGTGAGTTCTAGTGCTGCCTTAGGAATAGAATGGAATGGAATGGAAGAATAGAATAGAATAGAATAGAATAGAATAGAATAGAATAGAATAGAATAGAATAGAATA